GCTCCCCAAATGCCTGTCTCCCCTTGTTCTGGTATTCAGCTTTATCTCTGCAGTTGTATCATGTCTAACAGCATTCACTGCCTTTGCTTAAGTTCCCAGTTCTCTTTGCGTCTCCAGAAAGGAAAGGGGGTCCGGCCAGAGAGGCCAGGGCGGTGGGGCAGGCTGGACACGTGGCCCCACGGCGGACGCAGGGGACGCGGCGCCAGGGGGCTCGCGGGCGGGAAGCGAGGCAGAGACCCTGCTGGATTAGAGCCCCAGGCCCCGGCCGGCTCTCCATCCCTGTCCCCCCGCCGGCGCACGGAGACCGGAGGCTCCGCCGGGAACTGTCGCCCCCTGGTGGTCGCGGCGGGGGGAGCAGGGCCGGGGAGAGGGTGGCGCCTCAGGGATCCTGGTCCAGGCAGTGCGCAGGCCGGGATGGAGGGGCTGGAGATGAAGCAGAGAAGGAAGAGAGAAGGCACAGGAAAAATGAAAGAGGAGAGAGAGGGCAGGCGGGGAGGGTGCGGGGCGGCACCCTAAACTCTGGAGAGAAACCAGCGAGAGCCGCCGGCCTGGAGGATGCTGGCCTCTTGGGCGGTGGGTCCTTTCCCGCTCTGAGCCTGAGCCCCAGGCAGCAGAGGTGCCCTGCACTGCCAGCAGCTCTGACTCCTGTCTGGCCCCAGTGTCGGGGCTCCTTTCCCTTGAGAAGAAGTGGAATGAAGTCCCCTGGCTTGGCCCCAAAGTCAGTTGTCTGAGTTTCGCAGAGCTACTCACCAGCCTGCGGCCGTCCGGACCGTTCTAGGCAGCCGAGACAGAGGCCCAGGGCAGTGCCTCCCCTGCACCTGCCCCCGCTGCGAGCTGCAGGATGCGGTCAGGAGAGGAAGCAGGGCCTCAGCTCCGAGTCATCCTGGAGTCTCCAAAGAGCTTCTGGCCGAGGGCACCGACGGGGCACCGTCTGGGCCACAGAGCAGGGGGAGGGGTGTGCAAGGGGAGCCTCATCCTCTCTGCTGGGCCTGAGGCCCCAGGGGACGAGTCAGCGGGACCAGGGCAGCTCCCACTGGGCAGGGAGAGGTCTGGGTGAGCCCCCCTCCACTGGAGCAGGGGTGTGAGTGGGTGGGTTCAGGGTGCAGACGGGCCGCTGCCCAGCCACCAAAAGCCCCTCTGATGGCTGATGGAGGCGTGCCCTTGCCCCCTTCAGCCAAAGTGCGCAGGAGGGAAGGCTGATCCGGGCTTGGTGGGCTCTCCCAAACTACACCCACCCCTCCCTCCACGGTCTGGGCCGGTCAGTCCCCAGTGAGGGCCCGGCTTCTATTTCCAAGCCCAGCATCTTCCAGTGTTCCGGGCCTCCTGTCCAAACCAGTTTCCGACTCGGGCTCCTAGAGGTGGCGGGTCCCGGAGCAGCACCTTGCCCCACAGCCCAATGCACGTAGACACGGTTTGCTTGACTCCTCTGAATTTTTTTTTTAACCTACACTTTTTTTAAAAATTTATTTTAAATTCATTTATTTTTGGCTATGTTGGGTCTTCGTTGCTGCGCGCAGGCTATCTCTAGTTGTGGTGAGCAGGGGCTACTTTTCGTTGTGGTGCGTGGGCTTCTCATTGCGGTGGCTTCTCTTGTTGTGAGCACGGGCTCTAGGCGTGAGGGCTTCAGTAGTTGTGGCACGCGGGCTCAGTAGTTGTGGCACGCGGGCTCAGTAGTTGTGGCTCGCGGGCTCTAGAGTGCAGGCTCAGTAGTTGTGGCACAGGCTTAGTTGCTCCGCGGCATGTGGGGGTCTTCCCGGACCAGGGATCGAACCCGTGTCCCCTGTATTGGCAGGGGGGGTCTTCCCGGACCAGGGATCGAACCCGTGTCCCCTGTATTGGCAGGCGGATTCTTAACCACTGCACCACCAGGGAAGCCCAGACGCTTCTGAATTTTTAACAAGAAAATCGAAGGTGTACCAATCTGATTTCACATAGAAAATGTGGATTTCCAGCTTTGTCTTTGAAACAGACGCCTTTTTCTTATGACCACATTTGCAGTGATGGCCCCTTGAGACAGAGACTGAGTGTTTGAACTTTGCCTCCATCAAGCCCTCCACAGTTGCCCCGCCCCTGCCATACACACCAAGGCCGGGTGAGAGCTGCAGTGACCAGAACTTGTCCCTGATGTGCTTCCTCCCTTCACCGTGTCTGTCTGGTCCCTTTGCGTGTCTGCAGTTTTTCGGCCACAGGTTAGGGCTATGGAATCAGAAAGGTTTACCTCGCAAAAGCACCTCAGTCCCTTACTGGTTGTGTGCTTTTAACCCAGCTTGAGCTTCTCGGGGCCTCAGTTTCCTTACCTGTAAATGAAGGTAACAGTGTTGCTGCAAATCTCAACCTACAAGTGCAGGCTTGCAAGACACATGTGTTACTTAATTTATTTTAAATCAGTTTGATTCTGTCCTGGGCCTGCTGGGATGGCAAAAAATTGCATTTTCTCATGCAGTATCCTTTAAGGCTTAAAGGAGGCCGGAAGGCAGGGGGAAGGCAGCCATCCTGGTTGCTCTGGCCCCCGGGGGTCTCTGGTCGCCAGGGCTCCTGCGCCCTGGACGTGTGCAGTGAAAGAATCTGCCAAGGCCAGAAATCTGGGGCCCCGCATCCCAACCCCCATCCCTACTGAGGTCTCATCACCTCCCGAGGCACCTCGGGGTCCTCGCTGCACAGGGCATCTTCTTTCCCATTCCCAGTCTATCTCCCCTCTGTGTCCGGGCCCTCAAAGCCACATCGCTACCCTTGCTCCTCGGGCCCCCTGGCATTGTCTCAGTGGGCCCAGGGCTGAGGCCTTCAGGAAGCCACTGCCTCCCATCAAGAGAAAAGGCAGGGGTGACTGGGAGGGGGAGGGGCTACAAATCAACATTTCAACAAATTATTCCATCGCATGAGTAATAATAATGCTTACCTTTGCAGGTACTTTATGACCTGTCCACCCCTTAAGTGCTCCCAGAATTTCCTCCCCCCCCCCCCCCCC